TAACTATTCTAAGATTACGTGGTATGCATCTTTTGCTACTGTGTTAGGCAACAATATTATGATTTAGAAGTTGCCTTACTGTAATAACACAAAATATATGATACAGTATATTTTTACACTACGTACTGGGTACTTATTGTATTATTACAACATATATCTTACATGACTGATACAAATAGTAAACTGTAGTATACTATAGTAGGCTATAATTTAGTAATTATAGTAAAGATAAAAACCATAGTCTTTATAAAATTTTACCAGAGTTTACTTAAGAATAGACCTGATGAAAGAGCATTGCATATGGTCATCTCAGCAGCGAGTCAGTCAGCAGCATTGTACCGTCGAGGTGCAATACAGTGGAAAACTAGATTACCTGTTTCCAGCTGGCCCCAGGATATAACATCCTGGGAGCAGCTTATTATGATGATATAACATCATAATACACAACACATGTATATCTACTGTATAATTGATGTTTTTTGATGTAATGTAATGCTGTAGTGCTGTTGGTGCACTTGAGCTTCCATATGTGGTTCGAGGCAAGTAGAATAAAATGTACTACAACATTTTTTTTAACTACTATGCAAACATACATTCTTGTTATATGTAGTTATTGTGTAAGTGTAACACCTGCGGGCTGTAATTTAAAGTGATCCCTTGTTACCCTCTTGTTACGTGTAGTTACTGTGTAAGTGTAACATCACTCTATAGTTACAAATAGGTACGCTGTAAATTCTGTTTAATTACACGGTAAATTGTGGGCTGTAATCTAAAGCGTTACCGAGAAGTTTGTCTCAGTCTCAGTTCAGACTCTCCTCTTTCACTCCCACTGAAGCTGAATCACTGTGTGTCCTAACAGCGCTCTGCACAGACAGCAGTGGAGGACAGTGAGAGGATCTTTACTGAGCTCATCAGCTCCATTGAGAGCAGCCGCTGAAGCTGATGCTGTGAAAGTGCTGGATTGAGGTGAGTTACTAAAGATCAGTCAAGTCAACAAGAGCCGCACAAATCTGATGTTCCTGCAGGTTATTGGGTGAAGTGTGGAGCTGATGAGTTTTGATTTCTGTTTTCTGTAGAGTTTCCAGTCTCTCTCAGTACCTCCTGAATCTACAGACGTAAATGACGATCCCTTCAGTTCTCTCGTCTCTTCTGATGACCTGAGATAATCTGTTCATCAGCTGAGAGACAAACTGGAGGATTTCTGCGAAAAAGAGGAGCTCAAGACGATCTCAGACAGAGGTAAAGTCCTAGAGATGAATCTACTCTCAGAAACGAGTCCATCATCATCTCATATAATGGAGAACATCGTATTAGAAATGTCTTAGGAATGGATGCAGGATCATGAGAATCACACTGTTCATGTCTGTTGATTTCTACAGTCACATTCACCAGGATCAGGAACGACTTCCTACAATGTAAGTCAGTAAGAAAACAATCAGAAAAACTCACTGAGTGTGTTTATGTTCTTCCTGTAGAAGGTGAAAGAAGAGTTTTATAATTGATTATGTAAATGATGATTTGCACAGGATATCTGGTCATCTGTACTGAAACACTGATGATATACTGAACATGAAGAGTTCAGCTACATGAAAAGATCAAAGAGATTCATAATTCTTGATTCTGATGTGTTTTATCTCCATCAGATTCCCATCAACTCACTCTGGATCTGAACACAGTGAATAAACGCCTCCATCTGTCTGAGAACAACAGAGTGATTACAACAACAGAATGATTACTGCCACTAGAAGATTACAGCCATATCCTGATCATCCAGACAGATTTGATGTGTATGTTCAGGTGTTGTGTAGAGAGAGTGTGTGTCGCCGCTGTTACTGGGAGCAGGAGTGGAGTGAAGATAAAGGTGTTCGTTTATCAGTGTCATATAAGAGCATCAGCAGGAAGGCATCAAGTAATGAGTGTTTGTTTGGACGTAGTGATCAGTCCTGGTGTTTGTACTGCTCTCATTCCAGATACTCATTCACACACAATAACATACGGACTGATCTCCCTGTAAAGTCCATCAGCAG